GCGGTGAAGGAAGGAGTTAAAGTTTAGCCCTGTTGCAGACAATTGCATATGTAGTGCAGCTCTAACTCAGTACAACCACCAGCCTTTCCTCATTGTTGCAAGGCTTTTCCCAGGCAGACAAACCTAAAAATACACCAGCTGTATGATGAGGCTGACTCTCCTGTGGCCTGCGGGCTTTTCTCTCCCCCGATAATCTCCTCTCTCTCCCCTTTGCTAATTACTGGCAGCCTAGCAGCTCGTGTGTTTGAAAATGGAGCTGGTTCCTTCTCGAACTGTTTCCTGTTGCTGAGAGCAGCAAGTGACTTGGAGAGATTGCAGGTAAAGACCCGTTAAATGACATTTCCCCTTTTCGGGGGTCGGTTATATGGGGGTTTTCAGTCCCATTGCTTCAGTCTTCCAGCCTCCCTTGCAAAGTGCAAGGCTGTAAAGCTCTTGGGGCAGTTTGCAGCCTCATCCCACTGCTTGAGAGCAGCTTCTCTCCAAGACAAACGATGCTTTCCCTAGCCCTGGGAATGCAGACCCGCCTAGGACCCCTGTGGGGCTCCTCCTGGGGCATGCGTGGTGGCAGGAAGCGCCAGCGGCAATGTGAGCCCGCTGGGGTCTTGGTGATGCAGGAGTGGGGACAGCAAGCAGGTCTGTGGGTGCCAGATGTGCACCTCTGTGCTCGTCGGCATGTTTTAAACTCCAGCTTTGGCTGTTTCCCGTGAGGGCTGCCGCTTTGTAGCCTACCCGCCCGTGCTGACTCGGCATCCGTCAATGCTCTGGACTTGCTGCCCGGACAAGTGGAGAGCTGGTTCTTAATGCTCTGTCCAGTCTTTGCCTTTTAAGGTTAGTTTTTCCATCCCAGTACTCCTGCTTTGTGCTATCAAAAGTGATGATTGTTTTCCCAAAGCGTGACCTCCCATCCCAAACCCAGGTGCTGGCCGTGCTGCGGGACGGGGAAGCCTGCAGCCTCAGGGAATGAATGCTGCGGCCCCTTGCCACCTCTTTAGCAGCGAGCAAGTGGGACACAGGCATTTGTGGGGCAAGCTCATGGCTTTTTGATGAAGGGCTCTTTTGAAGTTGGGGTGTGTGAGTGTTGGCCGCGGCAAGGCGGGCAGCCCCATCCAGGTCATGCAGCAGCTGCGACTGTCTCAGCCTGGCCACTTTTGAGGTGAAACCGTGAGCAAATGTCCTTTCTGGTGTGGGATGAAAGGGGCTGGGGTGGATTTGGTGCTTGCATGATTGCTTCACCAGCTTTGTTTCTGATGGCAGGTTTCCTGCTATATGTTTTTTTGTGTGTGTATATATATACACACGTGTGCATGGAAAACAAACACAAGCCTGTGGTGCTGTCTTGCGGGCGGCATGGCCCCACTGCAGGGTGAGCCAGCCCTGCGCAGGGATGCTCTCTGGGATGCTCTGCGCTGCATCACTTGCTGCCCGGGCAGTGTAACGGGGTGTATTTTTGGTCCTGCTCTCCCAGTTGGCACGCGTGCTTCCAGGCTGGGATGTGATTTTATTGCAGCCCGTTTCAGGGCTGGGCTCGGCTCCAGGGTGTCTGCTCGGGGTTTTCTATGCTTTGTGGGACCGTGGTGGTGGTGTGCATGGTGCGGGTCTCGCTTCCTGGCAGCACTGGTGCGGTGGTCCAGGGCTGGGTCCTCCCCAGGGTGAGGTGCTACGTGGGCACAGCCCCATAGGGTTTGGGTGCTGTGTGGTTTAAAGTGTGTGCCGGTGGAGGAGCTGCCCCGCCGTTAGCCATACTGTGACCTCTCCATGGGGGTTGGAGGCAGTGACGGGAGGGGAATGCCCTTTGGCCCCCGTGCTGCTCCTGCCGGCAGGGAGCTGGGGCCATGCAGGCGCCTGTGCTCCGGTGCAGGGCTGCCTGCTGCCCCCACCACTGTGGGGTCGGACCCCCCTTTAATTTGATCCAAGTCTCAGGTACCCAGATCATTTAATCCTGAAGAAAGCACACAAGCTAACCTTTCCTGCTGTTATTTTTTTAATAATCGCTGTGATGGTTTTAAGCAGGACTGGACAAAAGCCCTGCTGGTGTCAGAGCACCAGGATGAGATGCTGCTGCTAACGTATATTTAGGAGCAGAAATCTTGGAGGAGCTCTGCTGAGTGCCATCTCTCTGCTCGCCCCAGCTCTGCCTCGCTTTGCTCTCATTCCAGCTCCTGAGTAGCACTTCCCTACATTAATTTGGGAATCTCCTGTTGGGCTTTCTGGCCCTTCTTTGTGGCAGCAGCTCGACCTCCAGCTCTCCCGCTCCCTGAAATAGAAGTGATGAATCATAGAGACGCACTCAGAAAGTGGCTTCCCTGTCCCCCTCACACGTCCCAGCAGGGCAATGCTGTGGCTGGCATCCCCACGCTGCACCGAGCTCCCACTTTCACCTCCGCTGCCTTCCTTGCTCCTTCTTCTTTCTGTGGTGTGTCGCTGGCGCATGAGTTTCGTGTCGATGGTGATCTCCTCGCGAGGGAGCCAGCTGTACTGTTCCTGGAGGGGCTCGGCCCTGTGGTTCACAGTGGCTTGGTGAGAGCTGTGCTGGTTTCTTGGGGTGGGAAACCTCTTTCTGGCAAGCCGGCAGGAAACCGTGCTGCCTGCCGCTGCCGGGCTGGCGGCTCTCTGAGCTAACCGGCAGGTTCGTGCTGACAGCGTGGCTTGGTCCCACAGCTCCGTGTGGTTTGGGGCTAATAAGCTCTGATCTGGGGTGCTCGTGGTTATGGTCTTACCGACAAGCTTGTAAAAATGAAGACGCTGGGCAGCGTGGCTGTCCCCTGGGAGCGCACTCGCCCCAGCAGTGGTGTGGCTGTGTGCTCTTTGCTAGGAGGCTCCCAATGTTGGAAAAGGTGGTAGGAATGGGTGATTAGGACCATGGGGATGATTTCCAGGGCTGGTGGCTTCATGCTTTGGTTGTCTCCACACCCATGGGGCTTTGTGGCACCTGACTTTGGTCACAGTGTTGCTCTTAACGCCGTTGCCCAAACCTCCCTTGAGGCTCTTGCCTCGGAGGTGGATATTTTGGGGGGTGGAAGGGAGCAGGGTGGCGAGCGCGTGGGCAGGGGAGAGCTGGTGGAGATGGCAGATCTGCAGAGAGGGTTTGGAAGCGGTGCGGAAGCTTTGCCCAAAGTGCCGGGGGCCCAGTGGAGCTGGCAGGGCTGCAGGGATGGCTGGGGCTGGGCTTGCCCTGGGAAGGGAGAGGGGGGATTCATGTTCGTTGAGAGTGGGATAAGGGGGGAAAAAGTCTCTCCCTTCCCTCAGACCTCTCCTTGGCTGGCTCTGTGGCTTGGGGAGGGGGCAGCAGAATTGAAGGATGCAGGATGTCGGGGTGCCCGTATGGCCCAGCCGCTGGCCTGGTGACGATGCAGCCCCCCAAGGTTTGCGTGGAGCCTGGCTGGCGGGTCCCACAGCCCTGCCAAGAGCAGGCTGCCGAGCTCTGGGGTACCCATTTGGCCCCACACAGCCCTGCCGTTATGGCGTGCGCAGCTGGCTGCCCTCTGATGACACCCTGCCGGGTCTGGGATGCCGGCAGAGCCACGCAGTCACCGCGGGCCATATTTCCTACCCGCGCCACTCCCTGACGGGGATCCTCCCGCAGGTTATCCTGGGCTGAGTCAGAGATGGGTGATAAGGAGAGGGCGGCTCTCCTCCTCCGCTTGCTTTCGGAGTGGCTTATCTGCGGCGGCTGGGGTGGGGAACTGAGGGCTGATCTCGTGTTCCGGACATGGACCTTGGGAGCAATGGTCCCACCCTGGGTGGACAGGCCATGATGGTGTCCCTGGGTGGGACAGGCTGTGTGCTGGCAGGGGGGGTTTGCACAACCCCACGTTAGCCCAGGGGTGCTTGTGCCTGTGGGGGGCGGGGGTGAAGAAGACAGAGAGGGGGGTGTAACCGAGGGGCTGCTGAGCAGATACGGAGGGCAGAGCTGTCTGCATTGGTTACCTGCAGCCATCTCCTCCCCACTGCCAGGGGTGCAAAGGTCACACTGGTGTGGGGTTTTTGGCTGGCTCCCTGCTGCTTTGCTGCTCCATGTTGGCGAGCCCCAGCTGTGGCACAGCAGCGTGCAGAGCTCTCCATCCTTCCTGCATGTGCCCCCTCGTCCCTCTGGAGCCTCTCAAGCCAACTGCCTGATGGCTGGCCCTGCGTTTCTTAATGCATATAAATGCCAGAAGGAAGTGCTTCTCCTTGCTGTGCCCGCTTGCTCCCCCCCACCAACTCCTCCTGCCCATGGCCCTCCTGGGGTTTGTCAGGCAGGCAGGTGGCAGGGATGGCAGGCAGTGTGCCAGGGCTCTCGGCTCTCCCAGGTCCTTTAAAAGGTGCTTTTGAGATCCTCCTCTGTGTAGGGGCTTGGGCTGTGCTTGCTGCAAACTGGGTTTTTTGCAACTGCTCCCAGTGCCACAGTGGAGCAGGGCAGGGGCAGCAGGTCAGGAGGCTCCTCTCGAGGCTTGTTAGCAGCCATCCCCAGCTAATACTTTGGTGCTGCTGGTGGTCTTAAAAGCATGTCAGGGCCAGCTACGCCCCACCAAGTCGTTTGTATGCAATAGGTGTGCTGGAGCGCATCGCCAGGCCACTGCCTGCGGGGACGTGCCGGTCTGGTCCAGCCAGCGGCTGCAGGCACGCTTAAGCAGCTGCTGCTTTTCCCGAGGGGGCTTGGGTGGGGGCGAGGGCAGGGTGGTGCCCCTCGGAGCGGGCTGCTGGGTGGTGGGGCTGGTGGTTGAGGCTGGGATGGTGAGACAAAGCACATGGCAGCTCCTTGGTTGGGATATGCTGTGCGCAGTGGTGTGCAGCCAGGTGGGGTTATCCTTAGCATCTCACAGGCTCCCTTGGTCCCTGCACTGGGGACGTGTCTTCCTCTGGGGCAGGAGGTTGTGGGGGACGTTTTGTTAGGCTGCCTGCTAGAAAAGTGTGAAGCAGCAGAGTCTCTGCTGGGTGGGGTGGAACAAGCTTGACACCATGCAGGAAAGCCTCCTAACCCTGTTCTTCTTGTCTTTCTCCCTCTAGGGCTGACCGAACTGGCTGTGCCCACGATGCCCTGAATGCCGAGCGCAGCGGAAGCAGAGGAGGCTGTGTCCCGTTAGCTCCTCCTCCTTCCCTCATCCCTTTAGTTTGGGTTTGTTTCTATTTATTTTGTGGCTGGGTTTGGGCATGGCCTTGGCTGGATGTGAGGCTGCTGCAATGTGGCTTCTTTGGCTCAAGCACCACTTGTCCATCAACGTTTGGACCTTGCTGCTCTTGGGGAGCACCTGGCTACCGCTGGCGGAAGGCAGCCCCAAATCTCCCTTTAGGACTTTCCCGGTTACAGACTGGAGCTTGACGCATTTGGTGGTCCACAACAAAACCGGGGAGGTCTATGTGGGGGCTGTCAATCGGATCTACAAGCTCTCCAATAACCTCACGCTCCTGCGGACTCACGTGACGGGGCCCGTGGAGGACAATGAGAAGTGTTACCCTCCGCCCAGTGTTCAGTCCTGCCCGCACGGGCTGGTCACCACCAATAACGTGAACAAACTGCTGCTGGTGGACTACTCGGGGAACCGGCTGATTGCCTGCGGCAGTGCCTCCCAGGGTATTTGCCAGTTCCTGCGGCTGGACGACCTCTTCAAGTTGGGTGAGCCCCACCACCGCAAGGAGCACTACCTCTCCAGTGTCAATGAGTCAGGCACCATGTCTGGGGTCATCATCGAGGTGCTGAACGGGCAGAACAAGCTCTTCATTGGGACGCCCATTGATGGGAAGTCAGAGTACTTCCCCACCCTCTCCAGCCGCAAACTGATGGCCAACGAGGAGAATGCAGAGATGTTTGGCTTTGTCTACCAGGATGAGTTTGTATCCTCCCAGCTCAAGATCCCCTCGGATACACTCTCCAAGTTCCCCACCTTTGACATTTACTACATCTACAGCTTCAGCAGTGAGCAGTTTGTTTACTACCTGACCCTTCAGCTGGACACCCAGCTCACCTCGCCAGACTCCACTGGGGAGCAGTTTTTCACCTCCAAGATCGTCCGCCTCTGCGTGGATGACCCCAAGTTCTACTCCTACGTTGAGTTCCCCATCGGCTGTGTGCAGGATGGCATTGAATACCGCCTGATCCAGGACGCCTACCTGACCAAGCCTGGCAAGGCTTTGGCCAAGTACCTGGGCATCTCGGAGCGGGAGGATATCCTCTTCACCATCTTCTCCCAGGGCCAGAAAAACAGGGTTAAGCCTCCCAAGGAGTCTGTGCTCTGCCTCTTCACGTTGAAGAAGATCAAGGATAAGATCAAGGAGCGTATCCAGTCATGCTACCGAGGGGAAGGGAAACTGTCGCTGCCCTGGCTCTTGAATAAGGAACTGGGCTGCATCAACTCGGTAAGTTACCGCTTGTCTTTACCCAAGCCAGGCTGTTTCTGGCTCCTGGCAGTACTCTCTGGCCAGACCTTTCTCGGTGACCTGACCTGAGCCATGTTTTTTCCAGGGGAGGACTGGCGCCGTTAGGGCTGGGTGCTCGGCTTGCTCGGTAGCATTCCTTGTGGAGATCACAGCTTCAGTGCGGGGTGGCTGTTTGGGTTGCATCAGTGCCCATGGAGAGCCCCAAACAAGGGGTCCCGTGCTGAGGCAGGTGCCTGCTTCTGGTTCCCCTACCCTGTGGATTTTGGTGGTGTCAGTGAGCTGGGCTGGGAGGGCAGGATGCTCAGTCCTCAGGGCACTGAGTCCTTTGCAGATGGCACGTGTGAATTTGTGAGTGACGTCTCACGTGGGGCTTGGTGGTGGCCGAGCAGAAGGTGTTGGGGGCAGTAGGATGTGGGGGATGGGGAGCGCAGACCTGGTGGAGGGAGGTGGGGAGGTTGGCGGTCCCAGTAGAAGTTGGTCATGCTCAGTGTGGAGAGACCACGTCCTCTCCATTGGGTGCTGGAGAGGAGGACAGAGGGCACAAGGCACTGTCAATGAGGTGGGTTTTGAGCGTGGCTAGTGCAAACTGTTGTTCAGAGGTGCAGGAGGTGAGTGCCAGCGTCTCAGAGCAGTGATTCCCAACCGAGGAAGTGCTCCCCTCTGTCCCCAGAGATGTGTCCTCCTGCCTGGTGCTCATGTGGGCGCATCTGGCCCCTGCTTGTGGCTCAGCTGCTCTGTGTGGGGCCTGTGAGTGGTGGGGAATGGGGGACCTCCCCACTTGGCTCTCTGGGTTTGTTTTCCAGCTGAACTATTACTATTGCTGGATTTTTCTCCAGGCAATGTTATAAACCATGAGCGGTCTCAGGGAGGCTATGGCTCTGGGTGAGGGGGAGGTCTTACACTGGGCATCACCAAACTGGGCTGGGTAGTCCCCAGGCAGGGTCAGATACCTGGCAGAGAGAGGTTTTGGGGTGCTGGCGTGTGCATTTGGGAGGGTCTGGTGGAGGTCCTGACACCCCTGCTATTGTCCACCTCCCCCCAGCCACGCTTGCTGATGCTCGACAGCCATCACCAAGCCCCCAGCCCTGCCTGAGCAGGGTTTTGGGTGCCTGGCGGTGCCCGCAGGTGGGCAGGGGTCCCTGCGGAGCAGCCTGGCCTTCCCTCCTGCCGTCCTCCCCACAGCTCCGGAGGAGACAGCTAACAGCTGCCTGACAAAGTAAAGGGTTTGCTGTCAAGAGCGCTGGGCTTGCAAATCAGATTTTGGCTTTGAACTAATTTAATTTTGCTGGAAAATGATGAAATCATTACACTGCTGCCTGTTGGGTCGCGCAGCTGCTGGCTCTGGCGGAGGAGATGCTTGCCGTCTTCTCCTGCACTCCTGGCTTGCCTCCCCTGGAGCCCCGCAACAGCACTGTGCCCCCTGGGTTTGGGGAGGGGGCTCTGACCCCTTTGGGGGGGTTTCATGCTAGGAGGGTCCTGGGACTGCTACCTGGTGGCCAACCTGCATGAGTAGGTGGATCTCGAGGTGCTCTTTGGGTCCTGCAGACATGGCTTTTGCAGGGTGGAAGAATGCGTGCCACGATGGTGTGGCTCCTGCTTTTGAATGGGTTGGGTTGGGGGGTGCCACTCTCCCCAGGGGGAGCCAGGTGGTGTTTTCTGTCCCCGTCCTGCTCCAGCTGCCAAGCAGAGCTCGGAAAGGCATGGCTGGATCGCAAGCCAAACCAGACCCCATGGAGCATGTAACCTCTTTCTGGCAGGAATTTCTGTGCCCCTAGTAAAATGCAGCCACCTCTGGGGTGGGTCGTGGCAGTGACGGATCTCTCAGTGGTGAGGGCTGGCCAGAAAATGGGCTGTCATGTTGTTTTTTTATTTTTAAGGAGGCAGAATGTAATTGCTGAAGTCAGTAGTTGCCTGGGATTTACACCTCTTCCATATGGAAAATGTCCCAGGAGCTCTTGCTCTGCTCCGTTGCGGTGACAAGGGGCTGAGGCTGGTCCACGCTGGAGGAGGCTTTGCCGGTGCCCCGCTCCCAGACCTCGAGCAGCGCAGGGCCAAGGGATGCTCATCCCCCAGCACTGCGGGGGCAGCTCCGATTCTCCGGAGCAGGAGGAGAGGACGCCAGGCTTGGCAGCCAGCTTGGGAAATGTTAGTGGTTCCTCCCAAATGCTGGTGAGCAGAGTGAATTCCTGTCTCCTGCTTCTGTCTCTCCCCTCCTGGGATCCAGCGATCCGGCAGTGGGAAGGGGAGTGACACCCCTTGTGCTGGTGTGCTCAGATCTGTGCGTGGACTCACATGCACAGCAAAGGCACCTTGCAGGACTGTCCCATCCATTCTCCTGCGCCAGCCTCACTGCCTAAATCACTCCTGAGCCTGTCCAGAGGTTTTGCTGCTCACAGTGTTCCACTGAAGAGGGGTTCAGTGTTGTCTAGCCTGGCTCTTTGCTATCCCTGTGCAATGCAGGGACTGAGGTCTGTGTGCCTGCAGCCAGACATGCTCAGTGCATCTCCCCAGCACACCTGTCCCCCCATTCATGGGGGACGAGGGTCTGATGTAGCAGGGCTGGGATTGGGCAGCAAGTTGGAGCTGGAGTGGAGATGTTGCAGCAGGGACCAAGTCTGGGTTCCCGGAGTCCTTGACCCCCAGGCTGGCAGCATGGGCAGAGCCAGTGCCCGGAGCTGGCAGGACGTGGGCAGCAGCACCGCGCAAGGGAGAAAATGAGTTTTGAGTCCTTGGTGGGGCTCGCAGCCCAGTCTGCTGGCACAGGGCGACAGCTAGTGATAAACTGGCCCAAACTGGGCAGGGATAAGCCAAATCCTTCCCGGGGACAGCCAAAGAAATGCAGATGTTAACAAACTGTACTGTGCTGGGATTATTCCTGGGCAGTGATTAACGTGCAAAAAGCCTGGCATCCCAGCCTAGCACTTGGTGCCTGCCTCCTGCAACCTCCTCCCTGGCTATTTGTGTCCCCTGCATACTCCATCGCAGCCCCTGGAGGGGCACAGGGGGACGGGGTGTGTCTGTAATGGCGTTAACTGGTGAATTACTAGCTAATTAATAATGCTGAGTGGTGGGAGCCTCGCCTCTGCTGTCTGCTCCCTCATTGCTTTCGTAAGTGGGCTTGAAGAAGGGAAGTAATGAGACAAGGCATATCAAGGAGACGGCCCACTCCTGCTCGCTCGGTGCTGTGGGCCTGCTTTCCCCCCTCCGGCAGGCTGCTTCCCCTGGGAAATCTGAGTTTCCTGACCCTATTTTGGGGAGGCAGGTTAGTGCTGGGAGAGAGGAGAAGGCTGCAGTGCCGTGGACGTCTGGGATGTCTTGGGGCCAGGGGCAGCTGAGAGGGGTGCCAAAGGAAAGCAGTGAAATAAAAGAAAAATAATAATAATAAATAAAAAATACTGCCAAACCAAACAACCTCCCCTTGCAATGGGCTGAGGCCATGGTCCCTGCAAACACCCGTGCAAATAGGAGAGCAGGCAGAGCTCGACGCCTCCTGCAGATCCCAGCATCTGCAAGGTCACTGGCCCTCGCGTGCCGTGGTGTGTGTTGGTCCCTGCCGGCACTGGCTGGGGGACAGCTGTCCCTCTGACCTTCCGTCCCTCCATCCCTCTGCCTCGCCTCTCCCCGCAGCCTGCATCTGCCAGGGATGTCGGTTGGTGCCATAACCCCTGTACCGCCGCCCTTGGCCCGACCTCACCGTGCTGCATGCCTGCGCTTCCCTAACGAGGCAGTTTGCTGTTAATGAGCTAATTGTTGGCATAATTATTTATCGAGGTGGTGTCAGCATCGTAGTGGTGGCGGGCGCTCCTCGTGGTCCCGGAGCGCAGCTGTATTTGTCGTTTCCCAGAGAGTTTGTTGAGACAAAGCAGAGAGGAGTAAACACCGTAAACATCTCTCCTCTTGCATATTCAGCAGCTGAGGGTTTGGAGAAGCTGCAGATTGAGTGTGGAGAGAGCAGAAACTGCACCCAGGGGCTGCCGGGGCTTAAATACCTTCATGGCATTGACCTTAACCCCTCTGCTACTGCTGGCGGCCGGGTGGAAGATGCTGGGATGCTTTACTGGGGCAGAGGAGCTGTCGGGGCCAGAGAGTGTTTTTTTCCCAGCAAAGCGCCTGAAGGATCCCAGGTATCCGGATGGGAGCTGGGTATCGGCTGGAGCATCGCTCCCGTCTTGCCTTGTGGTTGGGAAGATAATTTTCTCAGATCTGCTGTTTAAAATGTCTAGCCTGGTGATGCAGAGGAGGATGCTTAGCGCGTGTGCTGGCTGATGGATAGGAGAGGGCGCTTGCAAGGCTGGGATTCAGAGAATGGATGGAGAGGTCCAAATTCCCCTTCCCCCCTTTTCAGGTTAAGATGCAGAGAGGGGTTGCAGAGGTGTGTGGTGCCCCACATTCCTGTTTTGGGGATCCCCGCATCTCACGTCTGGCTGCAGGAGTTCCCCCAGTTTAGGGAAGGACGAGTAAAGGTCAGGCGGCCAAGTGAGTCGATCTTTCGCTGCATACTAACTCAGGCACCCAGCAAAAACAGAAGTTAGAGTAACTGAGGAAGCAGCCCAGCACCCCCAGACCGCATGGGGAGGCCGAACGTGACCGGCTGGCGTCGTTCCCAGTCCTCCCCCACTGGAAGGCCGGCACGGCGCTGAGTCCCCACTGCAGCTGGGAGCAGGACCACTGGCCTTGGGGCCGGCGTGGCAGCACGGCAAGGAGGGCGAGCAGCCTCGCCGTGCCTGCGGGAGGCTGAAGCTGTTGTGGCTGCGAGTGCATGGTGCCAGGGCATTCCCCCCTTTTCAGGTTAAGATGCAGAGAGGGGTTGCAGAGGTGTGTGGTGCCCCACATTCCTGTTTTGGGGATCCCCGCATCTCACGTCTGGCTGCAGGAGTTCCCCCAGTTTAGGGAAGGACGAGTAAAGGTCAGGCGGCCAAGTGAGTCGATCTTTCGCTGCATACTAACTCAGGCACCCAGCAAAAACAGAAGTTAGAGTAACTGAGGAAGCAGCCCAGCACCCCCAGCCCGCATGGGGAGGCCGAACGTGACCGGCTGGCGTTGTTCCCCGTCCTCCCCACTGGAAGCTGGAAGGCCGGCACGGCGCCCACTGCAGC